TCATCGAATAGCGATGTGACTCCCGCGATTTCGATGCGGTGAGCGATATAATTCTCCACCTGCTCTTCGTCGAGTGCCTTCAAAGCCATTCTGACTGAGATCCGTTGATCGAGCGGTTTGATTCGTTTGACCTTAGCCAGGAGGTCAACGCGGCCAGCCAGGATCATCGAGAACTGGGCTTCTCCCTCTTCATGTCGATTCTGTAAGAGTTGTAGCAAGCTGAGCTGCTCAGGAGTCAGCAGATGTGCATCATCGATAATGAACACCGGATGTTCGTTCCGCGATTGCATCTCCTTCAGGCGTGCTTCCAGACAAATCAGGACGACATCAGTCGTCGCATTTGACGGAATCTGAGCCCCTGCTCGTAAGGCCAGATATCTCAAAGTCTCAACAGGTTCAAGAACTGGCAAAGTCAGCTTGATGAAGGGGCCAATTTTTTCGGTTAAGTTTTCTTTCTCTAGAACTTTCAGCAGAAAACTCTTTCCGAGTCCATGTTCACCGACCAGTAGACCGACCCCTTTGTTTTGTTCAATGAGATAACGCAACTTCAGCAGGCTTGCTTGATGCGCAGGAGCCGGAAAGTAAAAGTCCGTTGCAGGTCCACATTCGAATGGCCGCTGCTTCAGTTTCCAGTACGTTTCGTACATCGCCTGTGTCTGTTGAGGTTGTCAGTCGTGGTTGAGGGAACGGTAACGTTATTGCTCGGAGTCGCTGACTTTCTCTATTGAGCCTGAGAGCCAAACGATTGGTTTGGGTTGTGCATGCGTGTGCGGTCTTGACATGTTCGCCTGCACAACATCAGGAGCAATGAGAGCTGGACGCTCTGAATCGAGTGGAAAGCCAGTCTGTCGAACCTGTCCTGTTTGTACAATGTCAGATTTTGGCTCGTTGAACGGGTTCTCTCGCTGCAATTGCTGTTGAGCGGTTATGGCCGTAAGTTGACCCGTAGGTGGTAATTCAGGAGCCTCGGGAAACTGCTGTCTTTGAGTTTCAATCGAAGGCTGTTCCGCAGTTTTACGGGCTGCATAGACTTCACGACCCCATTGCTGAACACTCTGCTCCAGATCCTCGCGTCTTCGAATGATTTGAGGCTTTTCCGCAGATGCCTGACTTGAGTTTTTGTCAGTGACAGAGGGGTTTCCGTCGGTCCACAAAATGGCTGCACCGCTGAACACAGAAAATGCAGCGACCCAGTACCAAATCTGATTTTTACTCCATGGAACCATCTCCCGCCCCTTACGCCCGCGCACGAAGATTGCAAACTCGCGTATCTTTCGTTTCGGTTAAACAGGGGTCGGAACTTGACAGTATTACCGGTTACAGCGACTGAATTGATTCGACTGGCTTGAAGTGACTCCATCAGGCAAGCGATACTACGTGGTCTAAAACACTTTATGACTCCGGGAGAAAGAACTTAATGTTTCACTTACGATTGTTATCCATTCCGCTCATGGCCTTCAGCATTTTGGTTGTCTCATCCATTTCTGGACAGGCAGAAGATGCCGATCCATATGGCGGATTCAAAATGGGCATCCAGAGCTATTCGCTACGGGCTTTTGATGTCGAAACAGCTCTCGAGCACTCTCAGAAACTTGGCCTGAAATACTGGGAGGCGTATTCCAAGCATCTCCCCATGTCCAGCGTGCCTGCCAAGATTAACGAGCAGAAAGAGATGCTCAACAAAGCAGGGATTACACTTGCTGCCTATGGTGTCGTTGGCTTTGATGACAATGAAACGAAAGCACGACAGGCTTTTGACTTTGCGAAAGCGATGGGACTGAAGTCGATCAGCGCGAACCCGAAGAAGGACAAAGCAACTTTCGATCTATTGGAAAAGTTAGTGGCTGAGTACCAGATTCCGATCGCCATCCACAACCATGGTCCCGGCGCTCTTTATGACAAGGTGGATGATGTTCTGGAAATGGTCGAAGGACGACACCACCTCATCGGAGCATGTGTTGATACTGGTCACTACCTGCGTAGCGACGAAGATCCTGTCGAAGTCATTCACAAATTAGGCAAGCGTGTCTTTGGCGTTCATTTCAAAGATGTCCGCACCATCCATTCAGAGGAAGAGAAAGAACGACTGCGAAAGACTTTGCCCAAGAATCGCGTCAAACATCTCGAACAGGAAGGTAAGATCTTTACCATTCTGGGTGAAGGTGAACTGAATATCGTCGGCACACTGAGAGCACTCAGAGAGATTGGCTATACCAACCCAATTTCACTGGAGTATGAAGAGAATCCAGAGAATCCGCTTTCTGATATTGAACTCTGTCTGGCTGCCGTACGTAAGGGAGTTGCATATCTCGACGATGAAGAAAAAGGCTTCACACAAATCTGGGATGGAAAGTCCTTTGATGGTTGGAAAATCAACGAATCACCAGAAACCTGGAAAATTGAAAATGGTGCCCTCGTCTGCAACGGACCGCGCAGCCACTTGTTCTATGACGGCGACCTGGCTCCATTCAAAAACTTTGAACTCAAAGTTGATGTCATGGCGGAGCCGAACAGCAATGGTGGAATCTATTTCCACACTGCTTTCCAGGAACAGGGCTGGCCGAAACAGGGTTTTGAAACGCAGGTCAATAACACCTACAACAAAGACCCTCGCAAAACCGGCAGCCTGTATGCCGTTGACGATGTGAACGTGCAGATGATTCCAGATAACACCTGGTGGACGCAACACATCATCGTGAAGGGAAAACGCGTTCTCATTTTGATTGATGGCAAAGTCGCCACGGACTACACCGAGCCAGAAGGGCAGGCCAGTCAATCGAAGAACTTCGAAAGAAAAATTGGCAGCGGGACATTCGCTTTACAAGGACATGACCCACATAGTACGGTTCACTTCAAGAATATCCGTGTGAAGAAGTTAGCAGACTAAACGGGCTTTCCTACAGAAATCTCTACTTAGAATACTAACATTACTATTAGCCGGAACGCGTTCGCGTCCGGTTTCAGGCCAAGAACCGTGGGCTAACGTCCAGCGGCGAATGAAGCAAACTGGTTTTGTTAGGGCTTCTTAGAAAAACTGCGGTCATCGCTTAAGCGGAGACCGCAGTTTCTTTTTGTGGGCTTTTATGATTTGGAGAAGAAGCGGTCTGTGAACGTTCAAGAACGTATAGAGCGCTATGTGCCCGCAAGTTGGCGAGCGCGGCACGTTTCACTGCTCGGTCACCGATGATCGGCAGTTCACGCACGATGTGAAAGTTCCCCTGACTGGCCAACTCTCGAAAATCGACCATTGAGAGAAAATGAACATTCGGTGACTCATACCATTCGTAAGGCAAGTGGTCGGTGACGGGCGCACGACCTCGCAAGGCCACCTGTAAGCGGATTCGCCAATGGGCAAAATTCGGGACAACCACCAGTGCCCGTCGTGCCACCCGAAAGATCTCATTTAGCAGATCCAGTGGGCGGTCAATCTGCTGTAATGTTTGTGAGAGAATCGCGAAATCAAAACTCTGTGAAGGAAGTTCTGTCAAACCACCGTTCAAATCAGCCTGCAACATGGGGACTCCCTTCTCGATCCCCTTGATGAACAAATCCTCGTCTCGTTCGATCCCAAACACATCGCAGCCATGCTCATCACGTAAGCGGGCAATAAGTGATGCATCACCACAGCCGAGATCGACGACTCGACTTCCGCGCGTGATTTTATCGATGATCAACTCGTTGGTCACAGCAGCACGCGGATCGGGTAGATAGATTCTTTTGGCACACATCGCTATTTCCCTACCGTTGATCGCTGTAAGTTCGTGCCAGAAACGGGCTGACTAACGCACCGAGTTTGGGAAGTTCCGAATCGATTAAGAAAGCATCGTGACCATAAGGACTCTCTAATTCTCGGAAAGTCACATGCCGACGGGCTTCGACCAGCGAACGGACAATCTCCTTACTTTGATTTGTCGGGAAGAGCCAGTCTGTTGTATAGGAGACTACGAGGAAGCGGCATTGGGCTAGTGAAAACGCATCTGTCACAGAACCATATGCCTCTTTCAGATCGAAATAATCCATTGCGCGCGTTAACGCCAGATAGCTGTTGGCATCAAAGCGATTGACAAACTGATTGCCCTGGTAGTGCAGATAACTTTCGATTTGAAATTCCGTTTCCGCTTTGAGGTCGAATCCGAACTGCTCACCGTTTTGCAGTTTGCGACCGAACTTCAACTCAATGGATTGCTCTGAGAGATAAGTGATGTGAGCGATCATGCGAGCGAGCGCCAGGCCAAACTTGGGCTTCTCTTCTTCATCGTAGTAACAACCATCACGGAAGAGTGGATCGCTGTAAATCGCCCGACGACCAACGGCGTTAAATGCAATTCCTTGGGCATTCAGTTTTGGTCCAGAGGCCAGAACAATCGCAGAGTCAACTCGCTCAGGACGACTGACCGCCCATTCCAAAACTTGCATTCCACCCAGGCTGCCGCCGACAACAGCAAGAACTTTTTCAATTCCTAAGTGATCAAGGAGTCCATTGTGAACGTTAACGATATCCCGAATTGTAATGAACGGGAAATCAGGTCCGTATGGTTTTCCGGTACGTGGATCTTCTGAACTTGGTCCCGTTGTCCCCTGACAACCCCCGAGGATATTCGAACAAATGACATAATACCGATTTGTATCGATGGCTTTACCAGGACCGATAAAACCATCCCACCAGCCAGGTTTGCGTTCCTCCGCGTGATGCCGACCAGAGACATGCGCATCGCCGGTCAGTGCATGGCAGATATAGACGACATTATCTTTTCGAGGTGAAAGCGTCCCGTAGGTCTGAAAGGCAACTTCAATTGGCCCCAACGATTCTCCGCTCTCCAGGACCAAGGGAGCATCGACATTGAACAAGGATGCTGACTGTCTGCGCACAAAACCATCCTGTGGCGCGGAATCATCAGTTTGAGCCATTTCAATGGACATAAGCAATGGACGAGAGGACGAATACAAAACCTGAATGAGATGAGTGTATCGGAGATGTAAGAGTGTTTCGAGTCGAAACATCAGGTGAGACGCAATCTTCCACGAGCGAATTCGATTGCATCGATCAGGCGATCTACGTCCTCTTTCATGTTGTAGATCCCGAAACTGACGCGTACGGTGGCTGAGACATTCAAATAGTCGTGCAGCGGCATCGTGCAATGATGCCCATGTCGTACGAACACTCCCTTGCGATCCAGCAACTGGGCCAGGTCCTCAGGGTGAGCCCCTTCAATGGTGAAACTGACGATCGCTCCCTTCTCGTCGGGTGCAGCACCGTAGATCTGCATCCCGGGAATCTTTTCCAATTGCTGGTGAGTATATTGCGTCAGTTCGCTTTCTTGCTGGTGGATCGTTTCAAAACCGATGCCTTGCACAAAATCAACAGCAGACTTTAAGGCAATCGCCTGTACGATGGGGATCGTCCCAGCTTCGAATTTCATCGGCGGATCTGCCCAGGAAGAATGATCCTGGTAAACCCGGCTTATCATATGCCCCCCAAAGACCAATGGGTCTGCCTGTTCCAGTAACTCTCTTCGCCCGTAGAGCACGCCTATGCCTGTTGGGCCGTAGAGCTTGTGCCCGGAGAATGCCAGGAAGTCAATCTGATCCGCCTGCACATCAACCACCTGATGCGGAGCCGTTTGCGCTGCATCAACAACCAAAATTCCTCCCACCTGATGAATCAGTTGAGAGAGTTCAGCAATTGGATTAATCGTTCCCAGTACATTAGACATCCCGGTGACTGCCAGGACTTTAGTCTTGTCTGTGAAGTAGCTTTCGCACTCTGCCAGGTCCAGTTGACCGTCCGCTGTGAGTGGCAAGTATTTCAGAGTTGCCCCGGTCTCTTTTGCGACTTGTTGCCAGGGAACCAAGTTGGCGTGATGCTCCATCAGCGTCAGGAGGATCTCATCACCTGGTTTCAAAAATTTCTTGCCCCACCCCGAAGCGATCACATTCAAGGACATCGTTGTCCCTGAGGTGAAACAAATCTCAGACCGGTCTGTGGCGTTGATCAGTTGCCGAACCGCCTCGCGTGATGCTTCCAGTTCATCATCAATTTGAGCCCCGAACTGATAGACCCCTCGATATGCATTTGCGAAGTGTGTTTCCTGAACGTTCTTTTCTGCGTCAATTACGACCTGAGGCTTCTGAGCGGACGCTCCAGAATCGAGATAGGTGACCACCTGACCGTTGGGCAGTTTCTTAGCAAAGACTGGAAACTGAGCACGAATGGCAGCGACATCCAGGGTTTGTGTTTCCATGACTCTTCTTTACTTGTTGATCAGATCACTCGACGGATGACAGGAGAGATTCATTCAGAGTTTCCACTGCCCACCTCTGCGGCCACAGCGATTTGTCGAATACGTTTCACCATCCCGGCCAACCCATTTTTTCGAGCTGGACTTAAGTATCGATCTAACTCCAACTGATGGAATATTTTTTCGATGTCTGTATCAATGATTTCTTGAGGGGTTTTCCTGTTATAAACCGCCATGAGTACGACGATGAGACCATTCACGATCATCGCATCGCTGTTGGCAATGATCTCGACCTTGGGAGGTTGCTCTTCTTCATTGAGCGAAGCGATGAGCCAGACATTACTCTGACACCCATGAACCCGATTTTGTTCGACTTTCGCATCTTCGGGAAGCTTGGGGAGTTCAAATCCGAGGTCGATCAAATAGTCGCAACGAGCTTCCCAGTCTCCGAGGAACTCAAATTCGTCCTGTAATTCATCTAATGTGAGATCAGCTGTGGAAGACATTCCGTCTTCACCTCAAAGTTAAAGTTAGGGTGTTTCAGTCTATTTTAGGCTCTCAGGCGTGATGAACCAAGTTGGCAGATACCGTTATAGCAATTCAGGATCATCTTTGAATTTCCCGCCACTCTCGTAAAACGACGAGAGGTCGATCCCTCCTTTACCTTCCTGCTCCAGAAGTGCGATGCGGGCTTCGAGTCGTTGAATTCTGGCTTCGATCCCAGGAGGAAGTCCTTGTTTTTCCTCACGTTCGGGGCGGGGGACGACTGGATAGCCGAGTTGTCTTTGCAATGCAGCAAACAGATAAAGTGGGTCTTTGCCAATGTTTGCTCTGGCAATCCTACCCGCATGACCCTCAAACAAGAGTGGATAAGTCAGCTGGAACTCCGGGTCGTGTCGGCGTTTACGCAGGTCGTCCAGATGCTGTTGAGAACGGCGGTACAGTAAGTCCGAGAAATCAACGGTCCCCAATTCGAAGCGAATTTTACTGATCCACTCTCTCCAATCAGAGGAATAGATCGGATCGCTGGCGATGGCGGTGATGCCGTGGTCGTAGCCAAGCCGGTTTCTGGCCAGGCATTCAAACTGGTAGACAAACAGAGCTGCGCTATCCACCTTTTCTGACGAACGGAATTCCGCTTCATGCTGCAGGATCTGTAGAGCAATACGAAAATCGAAACGCGTGTCGTCCTCTTCGGCCTTCTGAATGATGAAGGATTGAAACGGACGGAAATAATGCGGCAGTCGCTCCATTCCGCTGCCGATTCGTCCGTTCAGTTGAATTTCGCCAATGAGAAAATCAATGGCTATTGGCAGTTTGGTTGTCGCCAGCACTTCCTCCTTCAGACCGGATAGAATCTCCTGAGAAGGCGTACTATTCTCCAGCCGCTCGCGATAGACCCGAAAGAAATAGGCTTGCTCGATATACTCTTCACGATCCAACATTGCCTGAACCATGGGATGATCAGCCTGCTAGAGCAGTTTGCTCTACCATGTGTCCGCGACGGACGTCTCTCACCGCAACGAGAACGCCAATCCACGAGACAGAACGCAAACACTGTTCTGCAATTCGCTCTAAACGGTGAAAAAGGAGAGCTATGTGATGATAATTTACAGTAGCGGAATCGGCTCTGGGATCAAGATAAACGGAAAGACCCGCAACGGTCGCCCAGCCTGCAAATCTGAGGGGTAAGCAAGTTGTGCAGCACGGTCCGCCGCAAACTGCAAGATGGTAAAGTCGAGTCCGCAGAAACGATCCTGATCTGATTCGGCAGCGACGTCTGCAAATACTTCACCAGCCGATGCAGCGTGGCGGCGGACACCGTGGATACTTTCTTCCCGGACTTTGATCCCTGCGGCAGCCATTTTCACAAGGCCTTTTAAGAACAGCCCACACATCGAATCGACTCCCGTCGCTCGCATGAGACGTTCCCACTCATCGTGAGCTTCCCAATAAAACCCGAGATTGAAAAAATCGAGTCCAATGAGGTAGCTGCGGTTCTCGGTCCAAAACTCTTCTTTGAGTCCTTTGGGAGGCTGGGGCCGACGGTTGTAGCTGTGCCCACGCGGATCTCGATAGGGGTGAGGCGTTCCTGAACCAGGAATATGTGTATACCTGGGCAGATCAGTCGATGGAAGAAGCCGAACAAATTTTGTTGTTGATTCCATAATCTATCTCGTCTCGCGACCAGTGAACTGTGACATCTTAATGAATGATGGCTGAGTTGTTGAAAATTGAGGTAACGAAGTGGTCAATCGCGATATCCACTCTCAATTTTTAGCCGGACAAGTCACTACGATTGTTGATCATATTTATCGTTTTAGAACTATTGATCCCCAATAACCGCCATGAGTCAAGTCTTCAAAATTAATGAACTCGGAGGTATGCAAACTGTCGGGCAGGCAAAAATCTGTTGTGAATTCTAATATTCAAATATATTTGAGTTGCATGTTGAGACTTGGAAATCGCAAACCCCAACGGCTAATGCTTGGAGCTAGCCATTAATGTGACCCGTCTCTCCCGAGGACCATTTCGACAACGACAGCCACGCAAATGTGAATCGCCAGATGACAATTCGAGAGTCCGTTCTGGATGAGAGTGACCGCGTCCTCCACTATATGGAAGAACATATCACAGCTTGGCGGATTCATCCGAGAGTAGCCAAGCTACGAATGATTAGAACAATTTTCATGAGCGATGTGTAGCGCGATTTTCACAGATTTTTCCCAATCAAGCTCACCCCGGCTGAACTTGGAGGATTACACGCTCTCGTGAAACTTTAATGGTCATTCAGAGACCACTTCAATTCAAATGCGGTTTTCGAGACTGAATTTGCAGGAGATCTTCCTCTGCCACGAGAACTCGAATTCCGGTCGATTCGTCTCGCAGGCCAATCAGATTCGCGGCTGGTTCATCCGCTCGGGTTAATGAATGATGGGAAATCATCATCCCCACAAATTCATCAGGGCTGACGATACGACATCCCTTATCTGACTGCAGCAGCAGTCGCTCTTCACTCATACTTGCCATCAAAGCAATCCAATACCGAACGCTGGGTTCACAGACTTCCAAGTGATGTGTCCCCGCAGGGGTAAGGCTGTTGACTCCATCAACAAAATCAATTTGGCTCGCTAATTATCGGTAAAGTCTAATTTCATTTACCATTTACCCGATGGGGGTAAAACTATCGTCACTGACTCGAAATTCCTAGTTTAGTTTGCACGGAATTAACAGAACACTTAGAAATTGTTGTAAGACAAAACACAGGAACGATTTAATTCGGCAACAGCTAAAGGACAGCGAAAGATGTTTGGTGCTGACAAACAGGTTGCTTACCTCATCTTTGATGTTGAAGCAGTTGGTGATGGTGAACTCATCTCAAAAGTGAAGTACGGACCTGAAAGGCTGTCAGCAGCAGATGCACTTCAGAAGTTCCGCGAGGAACTGATCGAAAAAACAGGTAAAGACGTTCTGCCTCCCACCTTTGTGCTCCCAATCTCAGTTGCAGTCGCCAAAGTTTCTGACACATTTGAGCTGATCGATCTGTCTGCTCTGGATGAGCCTGATTACCGTCCCCACAAAATTGTCAAAGGCTTCTGGGCTGGCTGGAGGCATTACGGCAGACCGACTCTGGTCACATTTAATGGACGTGGATATGACGTTCCGGTTCTGGAATACGCTGCCTTCCGCTACGGATACTCAATCCCAGACTGGTTCAATGTTTCCGCTCCGGCCTATGACCAGGCTCGAAACCGCTATAACCGCAAAGCCCATTTCGACATGATGGACCTCTTCTCAAACTTCGGAGCGTCGCGAGTCACGGGAGGCCTCAACCTGCTGGCGAACCTGATCGGCAAACCAGGTAAGTCCGGGATCGATGGCTCGCAAGTCCAGGATCTGTACCTGGCGGGCGAAGCAAAGAAAATCAACGACTATTGCCGCTGTGATGTCCTGGATACTTACTTCGTCTTCTTGAGATCACAAGTGTTGACAGGCAGCCTCAGCCTGGAGCGAGAACAGGAACTGGTGGCCGCTACGAAAACTTGGCTCGAAGAAAGAGCGGACGATCAACCCGCCTTCGCACACTATCTGTCTGAATGGGGAGAGTGGTCCCCACCAGAGACTCCGAGCGAAGGGGGGAACTGATTGTGTCGGAGTACAGAATTGTACGGCCCTGATGAACTGGCCGCTTCCGGCACTCTTCTCTCGAAATATTGTTGCATTCTTGCGAGAACTTGACTTAGAATCAGTTCTCACTGATGAAATGGTGGCTTTGCGGAGACGTTCCTTTCTTCCCAAAGTCGATTCTTCGTGCCATTGACCACTCGGTCGCAACGTTACCCAGGACGGTAGGGTCTCAAACAAATTCATTCAATTTGTTGAGTAACTCACAGACTCGTTTTTCCATCTATGTCTAAGATGGAGGAGTTGTTTTTCCATCCGTATCTAGAATGGAAGCATTGCAAGTTTGCAAAAACACTTTCTTTCCCGTAAGGAGATTTTCAGTATGAAGAAGTTTCTGATGTTGACTGTCGCAGTCGCGACACTTTCCACAATGGCAATTGCTGGTGGCCTCGAAGTTGGTGATCGTGTTGGTGCGTTCTACGTCAAAGACGTGACCGGACCCGCAGCTGGCCAAAAGCTCTGCTATCGCTGCCGCTATGGTCAAAAACCTGTCGTGAGTATCTTCGCTCGTGACATGAACGACAATGTCGCTGAACTCGTGAAGAGCGTTGATGGTGTTGTCTCTGAAAACAAATCAAAAGACATGGCAGCTTTCGTCGTCCTTCTCTCTGATTCTCCTGAATCAAGCGAAGGGACACTCAAAGAAGTGGCCAAGTCAAAAGGGATTTCCAGCACTCCATTGACCACTTTCGATGGTGTCACCGGACCACCTTCTTACAACATCGCGAAAGACGCTGAAGTCACCGTCATGATGTGGGTTGGAGGAAAAGTCAAAGTCAACGAAGAGCTGAAAGCCAGTGACTTGACCAAAGCCAAAATTCAAGCCCTCGTTGGCAAAACTGAAACAATCTTGAACTAAGCTTTCGTTCAGAAATGAGCTTCCATGATTTCATTAGCCGCTGGGCGTTAGCCCACGGTTGCATCAAACCGGACGCTAACGCGTTCCGGCTGATGTTTTAGCTTAATTTTCTGAATCAGGTTCACCGAACTAAAAGTGTCCTTCGCAGCGATGTGAAGGGCACTTTTTTTATGATATCATCAAAGGTCACTTCCTCAGCCTTAAAGATTCAAGACTCAAAACACTGCCTGCACATGGATGACGTTCTCACCGCAACGGATTCACAGCTCGACATCAAAGACCTGAATCGAATCATTCAGGGAGACTGCATCGCTGGTATGGCTGATTTGCCGGCCGGTTCGGTCGATCTCGCTTTCGCTGATCCACCGTTCAACATTGGCTACGAGTACGATGTCTACAAAGACAAACTTGGTCGGGAAAAATACCTCGACTGGTCCCGCGACTGGATCAGCGGAGTTCATCGTGTTCTCAAAGACGATGGAACATTCTGGCTGGCGATTGGAGATGAATACGCTGCCGAGCTGAAAATCCTCAGCCAGGAAATCGGTTTTCACTGCCGCAGCTGGGTCATTTGGTACTACACCTTTGGTGTGAACTGTAAGAACAAATTCACCCGTTCACATGCCCACATGTTCTATTTCGTCAAAGACCCTGACCAGTTTACTTTTCGGGCCGACGATTTAGAGAACCGGATTCCCTCTGCCCGGGAACTGGTCTACAACGACAAACGAGCCAACCCTAAAGGACGGCTGCCGGACGACACCTGGATGATCCGGCCAGCTGATGTTGTCGGAGAGATCATCGCTGACGATGGCACCTGGTCTCCCGAGGGTATCAAACCGCAGCGAGACGATGACCGAACCTGGATTCTGCGTCCACAAGATATCGAAAGCTGCTTCCAGGCAGATGAAGACACCTGGTACTTCCCCCGAGTTGCAGGGACATTCAAAGAGCGGCAAGGCTTCCACGGCTGTCAAATGCCCGAACAACTCCTGGGCCGTATCATCCGCAGTTGCTCGGAACAATCTGATGTCGTCCTCGATCCCTTCTCCGGCAGCGCGACGACGCTGGCTGTCGCCAAGAAACTGGGACGAAAGTTTCTCGGGTTTGAACTTTCGGAAGATTATGCGGCCTATGGAAAAGAACGCCTGGCATCAATCCGAGTCGGTGACCTTCTCGACGGCTCTGCCGAACCAACGAAGAGTGCTCCCAAGACCAACCAAAAGAATGGTCAGCAGAAACAAAGAAAAGGTTCAAAGGCACAGCGACAACTCTTCGCCGACGAACAACGACTGGCTGAGAAGCAACTGGAACTGACCCTCAACGGTGTCGCAGAAGCTTTTCTGCTTTGCCACCAAGGCTTTTCCATCGATAGATTGGTCATCGATCCTGATCTCAACGCCATCTTTATTGAGACCTGTCTGCGTCTTGGATTAGCTGGAGAAGCCCGGACCTGGAATACTCTGCTCTTCAGGCTGCGAAGATCTGGCAAGTTGGCAGCCATTGAAACTGACTCAGGCATCAATCTCACCTGGGAAGATGTCGATCCATTCCTGTATGGCAGTGAGATTGCCTTGCAAACACTGTTAAATGAGAAGCGAGCAGCCGATCTCAATGAGGTTTTCTGCGATCCACAGTTAGCAAATGAATTCGACGAACTGGCAAAGTCACTCGCCCCCGGCCACACATCACTCGAATACCGCTGGGCTGCCTTGATACTGCACCAGCACCTTCCTCTCGCCCGTCAACGAGCAGCACTCCTGGCCCAAGTAGAAACTGAAGATGCATTGCTGAACAGATTGAGCCCTGCTCAATCCATCGCTGCTCTCCACTACCAGGAATTACCAGAAACCGCTGCGGTTTATCTGCTCAACGACAAGCAAGGGAATAATCTGTACTTCGGAGAAACACTTAACCTACAGCGAAGAATTAAGCAGATGGCTGCTTCTGAGCATGAAATACTCACCGATGATCAACTGACTGTTCGATGGATGGTAATACAAAGTGACACGAGCAATATCCTGGCTTGGCAATGTCATCTGGCGAAACAATTGCCAGCAGGTTTGAACTACTGCTCTGTTTAATCGAAAACTTTACGCAAGCTTACCCATACCCACCGCCACCGGGAGTCTCTATCGTCAATTGATCTCCCGGGTAGGCTTCGAGTTGCACGCAGCCGCTGAGTTCTTCGGGCTCATTACAGTTGGCTCTCTGGATGTTGTTCTTCCCAATTTTTCCCGGGGAACCGCCTGCCAGGCCAAAGGGAGGATAGGAGCCGCGGCGTTGAGTCAGCAGCGAAACTTGCAGCGGCTTTAAGAATTCAAAGGTGCGGATGATGCCGTTGCCGCCGGGGTTCTTGCCGTTTCCTCCGGAATCTTGTCTGATCTCGAAACGCTTGACTCGCACTGGATAGCGGTGTTCGATCACTTCCACATCGGTCAGGCGAGTATTTGTCATGTGCGTATGGACTGCATCTGCTCCAGGAGCGTTGGCTGTCGCTCCGGCTCCGCCACAAATCGTTTCGTAATAGCCAAACGAATCGTCGCCAAACGTCAGGTTGTTCATCGTTCCCTGGCTGGCTGCTGCTGTCCCTAATGCACCCAGCAACACATCGACTACTCGCTGCGAAGTTTCTACATTTCCGCCGACCATCGCTGCGCATTGTTGGGGGTCATCATGCCGGGGTGGGTTTAAGAGCGACTCGGGAATGATGATCGCCAGTGGCTCCAGCACTCCACTATTGAGCGGAATGGAGTCTTCGATCAATGTCCGAAAGACATAAAGACAGGCAGCGGTCACGATGGCTCGATTGGCGTTCAAATTTGAAGAGAGGACTGGCCCGGTTCCGTTAAAGTCGATCGTTGCTTGACCCTCTTCAATTGAAATGGTGACAGCAATCGGGGAACCATCATCCAGATGATCGGTGAAGGAATATTCTCCATCCGGGATGCGTCTTAATGCCTGCTGCATCTTCTTGCAGGCCGCCTGCTGTATGAAGGACATGTAGGCGAGGACCTGCGGGAGCCCGTATGTCGTGACCATTTCCAGTAACAGATTCGCTCCAAATTGATTGGCTGCCACCTGAGCCCGGATGTCCGCGAGATTGTCCTGCACGTTGCGAGAGGGATATTTCCCGGAACTAAGTAAGTCAGCCAGTTCTTCCTCGCGTACTTCTCCCTGATCGATCAGTTTGAACCGCCTGATCAGAACCCCTTCTTCAGCCAGATTCTTTGAGAAGGGAGGCATACTCCCGGGACGAATCCCCCCGATTTCAGCATGGTGCGCACGACTGGCAGTCAGGAACAAGAGTTCTTTCGTTTCAGCATGGTGCACCGGTGTGATTACCGTGACATCAGGTAAGTGCGAACCTCCAGCGTAGGGGTCATTCGTGACGTAGACATCTCCCGGAAGTATATCATCACATTCAACCAAGAGTGTTTTGACAGTCTCTCCCATCGCTCCCAGGTGGACGGGAATATGCGGAGCGTTAACGACCAGCCCGGCCTGTGCATCAAAGATAGCACAACTGTAATCAAGCCGTTCCTTCACATTGGTTGATACGGAAGTCTGCCGCAGCGTTAGTCCCATTTGCTCAGCGATAGAAGCGAACTGGTTGTTGAAAATTTCCAGCTGGATGAGGTCCGGCTCGAAAATCTCTTCTCCTTCTGCGGAAGGCTGGTCAGTGGCTGCTGTCGTTTCTTCTAATTCAATTAGTAAAGAACCGTCATTACAGACAGAACAGCGAAATACGGGTTCAATCCAGACTGTTGACCCGAGGTCACAAACAATGGCAGGCCCAGTGATCTTCGCTCCGGCGATCAGAGCTTCTCTAGTGTAGACTGGAACATTCAGGCAACTTCCCGCATGCCAGACCTCGGTCATCAAGGTTGATTCAGCAGTCACCCCACTCAATTCAGGGACAGCAATCTTTGAAATCTCCTGACGACCAGCGACCGCTTCGCCGACAATAGAAACGAGTTCGACTGTGCGATTTGGCTGTGAATAACTAAAGAGTCGCTGATGTTCTGCATGATACTTCTTAACAGCAGACGACAAATCCGCAGCAGCCACAACAAGCGAGGCGTCCAGCCCGAGGTACCTCAAGCGGAAAGAGATGTTTACCTCCTCAATCGCGGTGGTCTCAACACCTTCTGCCTGCATTGCCTCCAGAAGCGAGTGCTTCAGCCCGGAAAGGATTTGTTCCATCTCAGACGAAGTCAGTTCATCCACCGGCTGTAGAACGGATGTTTCAGATCGTTTTCGGATCTCCGCCAGTCCCATCCCATAGGCACTGAGAATACCTGCATAGGGATGAATCAACAGGCGTTTCATACCGAGCCTCTGTGCCATCGCACAGGCATGTTGACCACCCGCACCGCCGAAGCTGACCAGCAGATGGTCTTGCGGGTGATATCCTTTTTGAATAGAGACTTGCCGGATTGCCCGTGCCATCGTTTCATTGGCGATGTCGATAAAACCTTGAGCCAACTCTTCGTTTGAATAGTTGCGGCCCGTCTTCTGAAGGATGTCCGCTCGGATCGCTGCCAGCTTCTGTTCAATTGCAGCCACATCTAATGTAAAAGGAAACTGGTCCGGGAGAACTCTGCCCAACAGAACGTTCATGTCGGTGACCGTTAGCGGGCCACCAGCTCCGTAGCAGGCTGGTCCGGGGCTAGCCCCTGCACTTTCGGGCCCAACCTGAAGTTGAACACCATCGAAGTGACAAATGCTCCCACCTCCGGCAGCGACAGTTTCAATTGCCAGCGTTGGAGAGGCAATACGGACGCCTGCTTTGGTTGTTTCCGTCTGAATTTCAAACTCGCCACCGAAGCGAGAGACATCGGTGCTGGTGCCTCCCATATCAAAGCCAATGGACTGCTGATGACCAGCTGCCTGTCCGATGCGGGAGAACGCGACCACTCCTCCAGCCGGACCAGAGAGAATACTGTCCTTACCAGTGAAGTGTTCCCCATTGACCAGCCCACCTTGCGATGTCATCAGCTTGAGCGTACTCGTTGATGAAAGACCTGAGCGGATGCGAGCGACATAGTCAGTCAGAATCGGGTTCAAATAGGCATCGAGGACGGTGGTCTCTGCTCGCGGGACAATCTTAATGGAATGAGCCACTGCACTGGAGCGACTGACAGAATTGAACCCAACCTCCCGGGCAATACGCTCAGCGGTTTGCTCGTGCTGTGAATATTGATAAGCATGCAAGAATGAGATGGCGAGAGATTCAAAGCCTTCTTGATGACATTGAGCTAGTTGCTGACGTATCTTCTCCTCATTGAGTGGCTGTAAGACTTCGCCGGTTGACGAGATACGTTCTTCTGCTTCGAGAACCTGATCAAATAGCGGTTGGGGCTTTTGAATATCTAAATCAAACAGTTGAGGTCGATCCTGATCTGCAACGTGCAACAGATCCTTGAAACCTGCCGTGACGAGAAAGAGAGTGCGTGCCCCTTTTCTCTCCAGCAAGGCATTAGTTCCGCGGGTTGTTCCCATACGAACATCGATCTCCGGCAACGATTGATCCAAAGTTAAACCGAGTATCGCTCGGATGCAGATCAAAGGAGCTTCCAGTCCGCTGACAAGTTCGTATGAGTCACCGACTTGAATATCAGACGGAACTTCACACTCAAGGTCCAGCAGACCCTGCTTTGCAGCGACGACTTCCGTTGAAAACTTGAGAGTCCCGTCTTGATTTCTGACGATGAATTGCCAGCCTCGCCAGAAATTTTCGACAGGTTCAAATTGCCTGGTTTCGGTGACGTTATTGCCTTCGACCTGCTCAACAACACCGCGGACAACTCCTGAACTCAATGTCTTATATGTTGCCATCTCCCCCGCAGGAGAGACAGCCACGCAGTCTGTAAAAGTCCCACCGACATCGATCCAGAACTGCCATCTGAAATTTTTCTGCTCAGTTTCGCTCATGTTCTTCAGTGGCATCCTGGATTGCCAAGTAAGTAGGGGAAATTGTGATATTTAATTGGATAGTAATCTCAATCTGCCTGGCTTTGCATCAAGTCATAAAATATGCGACATTAAGGTGTTGTATCATTAATTTTTGACAAACCGTTTTAGAGGTAAAAACACTGATGCCTGAACAGAATCAGCAAGATAATTCTTCTCCACTTTCACGTCGTGATGTTCTAAAAACATCAGGCAAAGTCGCAGCTGCGACTGCGATTATAGGTATGACCATGCCCAAAGCTTATGCCGCAGAAGATAACACAATCCAGGTTGCATTAGTCGGTTGTGGAGGTCGTGGGACTGGGGCCGCTGCCAATGCCCTTTCTGTTGAGAATGGCCCCATCACATTGGTTGCCATGGCAGACGTTTTCGAAGGGCGTCTTTCCACCAGCCATCGCGCGTTATCGGGTAAGTTCGGTGAACAGATTCAAGTTCCAGAAGAGAACCGACACATTGGTTTCGATGCTTACAAGAAAGCAATGGATCAGTTGAAGCCGGGCGACGTTGTCATTCTCACAACACCGCTGGCTTTCCGAGGTGTTCACTTTGCGTATGCCATCGAAAAGGGCTTGAACGTCTTCATGGAGAAGCCGGTCACTGCCGATGGTCCTTCTTCCCGCAAAATGCTGGAACTGGAAAAGCTTTCACAGGAGAAAAACCTGAAAGTCGGTGTCGGCCTGATGTGTCGCCACTGTCGTGCTCGTGGGGAACTTTTTGAGCGCATTCAAGATGGCCAGATTGGCGATCTGACACTCATGCGAGCTTACCGCATGGTCGGCCCAACCGGATCTGCCTTTGCTCCACCGAACGATGGTTCGTTACCAGAGACCATGTATCAGATCAAGAACTTCCATGGCTTCCTGTGGGCCAGTGGTGGAGCGTTCAGCGACTTCCTGATCCATAATATCGATGAGACCTGCTGGATGAAGAACGCCTGGCCAGTCGAAGCCAAAGCGGTCGGCGGTCGCCACTATCGTGGAAACTTTGTCGATCAAAACTTTGACAGCTACGATGTCGAGTACACCTTCGCAGATGGCTCCAAGTTCTTCATGCAGGGCCGCAATATGGTGGGCTGCCATCAGGAATTTGCCAGCTATGCCCATGGCACCAAAGGTTCTGCGATCATCTCAACCTCATCGCACTTCCCGGCTCGTTCGCGGATCTTTAAGAACCAGAATATGACGAAGGAGAACGAAGTCTGGGCCTATCCCGACAAAGAAGTGACTCCTTACCAACTCGAGTGGGATGCCCTGATCGCAGCCATTCGCAATGATACTCCTCACAACGAAGTGAAGCGTGGAGTCGAGGCAAGCGTGGTCACTTCTATGGGGCGCATGGCAGCCCACACCGGCCAGATCATCACCTACGATCAGATGCTCAACCACGAACATGAGTTCGCCCCAAGCGTCGCAGAAATGACCCCCGAAGGCCCCGCTCCCGTCACCACAAATGCCGCTGGGAAGTATCCAGTCCCAATGCCGGGGATTGTTAAGAATAAGGAGTATTAAACAACATTTGAGTCGGATTCCCTCATCCTCCAAGTTTACTTTGGGGATGAGGGACTGTAATGCACTCGTACTGGACATCTTTCAAGGAATTGTGATCTCAAGCATGCGATCACCGCGTCCCGCTGGAATTCTAAATAGCTTTCTCTGGTGTGAATCGTTTTCAACAGTTTTTAGCTGATAGTCAATGACGAGATATTCTGCGTGGTGGTAGGTCCCTTTTGTCATCCAAGCACCGGTTCTCCCTGACGTAGGAACAATAACGAGCATTGCTTGATCCTCATTGAAATTCGGTCGTTCAAACTCACTTTCATAACCATCTAGGTTTTTCATGACATGGTCCGCATCTTCCTTAAACCAAAAGACGGCAACCTGAATGGAATCCACATTAACTTCCTGGTCGGCATCGATCTTAACAGTGAGATGAAAGTGTCCAATCCATACTTTCACACTGGAGGAAACAAGAATAGGAAAGTCACCGAGGAGATGGCGATTAAGACGCCAACCTCAGTCCTTGTAGGGTAAGAGAATCGGTCGAAACGGTGATTCAATAGATTGGTATGCATGTTAATCGCTCATTTGTTTTGCGATGTATCATTACTTGCGCTTCCTCTTCCGCTGATTCGGCTTTCTCTTACTTTTTGTGGCTGAGGCCTTCTTGTTACTTTTACTGTTTGGCTTGCCTCCTTTGCTGTTTCGAGGAGGTTGGCCTTTTTTCTTTGTGGCTTTCTTTTTTGCCTGCCGGACCTCAGTCTCTGTATGAGTGATCATCTTGAAATTCAGTTCGCGACGATCAACATCGACGTGGACCACTTCCACTGTCGCGCGGTCTCCCATGCGGATCATTTTGCCTGATCTGCGGCCGACGAGGGCCATCGCCTCTCGGTCGTATTCGTAATAGTCTTCACTCGAAACCACACTGATGTGAACAAGACCTTCTACAGGAATCTCTAGGCCACGACAGAACAGCCCGAACCGTTCGACACCGGTCACAACCGCTTCAATCTGATCCCCAACGCGCTCAGCGAAGTGAGAGAGCAGCTTAATTTTGGTCAGCTCTCGCTCTGCCTGCTCAGCACGACGCGCGGTGTTGGAACAATGATGACCTAATCGAATCAGGTCTTCTGCAGAGAGTGTACGGTAAGTAACGTTATCACAGACGAGTGATGCCATGAGGCGATGAATGTGCAGATCCGGATAACGGCGGATGGGACTCGTGAAGTGACAATATTGATCCTCCGCGAGTGCGTAATGTCCCATCTCGATGGGTGAATACTCTGCCTGTTTCAGGCTCCGCAAAAAGGCATAATTAACGGCCCGCTCCTGCGGAGTCCCTCGAACCTGATTCAACAATCCCTGTAAATGTTTTTTGCTCTGATATTGCTCTAATTCAAAGCCTAGAGCCTCGACAAATTGTTTCAGCGTCTTCAGTTTTGTTTCCGCAGGATCGGCGTGAACACGTCGCAGGAAATCGATTCCTTCATCTTTGAATTTGACTGCGACAGCGATATTCGCAGCCAGCATGAACTCTTCAATCACCTGATGGCTCTCATCATGTTCGGTTTCGTAGGCTCCCGTCACTTCTCCGTCTGGATTGAGACTCAGGCGGACTTCCGGCATGTCAAGCTCCAAGGCCCCTTTCGCAAAACGTCGCTTGCGGAGGATCATCGCCAGGTGATGCATCTCCTTGAGCAATTTGCGGATCTCTGGTGTCACACCTTCAATCTGCTGTGCATCATCTGCTTCGATGATCGGCATCACTTCTTCATAAGCGAATCGTTGACTCACCTGGATGGCGGAACGTGAAAATCGCGTTGAAACGGGAACTCCCTCTGCCGTGTATTCGATAAAGGCCGACATCGTGAAGCGGACCTTCCCCTCTTGCAGCGAGGCCAGACCATTTGAAATGACCTCTGGAAGCATGGGAATCACTTTTGTCGGTAAATAGACACTCGTTCCCCGCAACTCGGCTTCCCGATCCAATTCCGTTCCTGGTTGCACGAAGTGTGAAACGTCGGCGATGTGGACACCGAGTTCCCAGTGTCCTTTTTCAATTCTCTCCAGCGAGATCGCATCATCGAAATCACGAGCTGTTTTGGGATCAATGGTGACAATCGTTTTCCCAGTCAGATCCTCACGATCAGTCAGATCATTTTCATCAAAGTTCTCTGCCTCTAATCGTGCATCATCAAGGACAGCTTGTGGAAAGGCATCTGGAATGCCGAATTCGTGGATGATCATCTGGGTGTCAACACCAGGAGTTCCACGAGCGCCGAGGACTTCAGTCAGAACTGCCTCACCGATTTGGCCGACGGCGGGAAAACGCAGCATCTCAATGACAACTTTGTCTTCTTCCTGAGCCCCTTTTGCACCAGGATCGCCAACCCAGACTGGCTCGGGAAATTCTTTCCCATCGATCTGTACCCAACCCGATTCATCTTCCTCAAAATAGGTTCCAACAAAGACATTTGTCGCTCGCTCGACGACCTCAACGACGTAACCGCAACGTTGACCACGGCTCTTGCGTCGCTGCAGAAGTTTGATAAAGACCTCATCACCGTTTTGAGCATCTTTCAGGTCATGCTTATCAACGAAGACATCTTCGCTGAGTCCTAGTGGCTTTGGTTCGCGAAGAATGATATAGGCATCACCGCTTTTAACTCGATGCACGATTCCGAGATGAGAGCCTTGAGGAACCTTGGACTGGATGCGACCACTTTCAGCGACCCGTAGTTCCCCAGCCTGTTCCGCTTCGATGAGTGCCGCGTCAAACTTAGCTTGTTTTTTCTTTGTCACACCGAGTTTTTTCGCCAGATTCTTAGGCTTCATGGGTCGATACCCTGGCCGCTGAACGAAATCGATGATTTTCTTGGTTAATTGATTCATAAGACATTGTTTCCTTGTGAGGTGCTCATTGGCGGCACATCTCGATCATACTGACCTACAGTAAGAATCACCGCATCAGAACACAAATTTGTAGATTGATGATGCTGGAATTGAATTGGAGGAGATGGAACTTCCATCTCCACACCAATTCGATTAATTGAATATGGTCATGAATCCTGATGAACTCAGGTATCTTTGTCCCCTCTCCCCCGCGTGCCGCTGGCCATCTTTGCTGACGGTTGCGGGGGAGAGGGCAGGGTGAGGGGAAACAAAGCCGCTCTCTGATCCCCTCAACCTATCCTTCTCCCCACAGCGACCATTATTAAGTCACCCCATGCACATGGTGGGGAGAAGGGACAAGAATTCGCTGCGCTCATGAGATGGAATGTGTGACCTAACTACCTTGTATTCTGACCAATTGCATAACCAAGGTGTCGTCTTTTATTCTTGCCTAGGACTCTCCGTTTGACTTTCCACCTTGGATGTGTAGACACAATCCGTGCCAGGACAACTTATGCCTGAATTGCTATAAACAGTATTCTGCCAGGATCGCTGTCGTGAAGGAGCGTTGATGAAATCTCTGCCTGTCTTAATTTGCTTAATCGCATTTCCCCTCTTCGCTGACCCGGGAGAGGAGTTAGCCGAGATTATTGGACAAGAATGGGATCGCACGATGCGTGAGGACCCAACGTGGGCCTCGTCATTGGGCGATCGTCGGTTCAATACGAACTGGACCGATCTTTCTTTGGCAGCGATAGAGGCATCTCACCAGCAGGACTTAGAGGTCCTTCAGAAGCTCGATCAAATCCCCTTCGAGGAACTCTCGGCAGAAGAACAGATCAATTATCGGTTGTTCCGTCGAGAGTACAAAATACGCACAGAGGCCCATCAATTCCAGTGGTATCTCGTTCCTCTCAATCAGAGAGGCGGTATCCAGGACGAAGGTTCGCTCGCAGAGTCACTTAGATTCGAAAAACTTGAAGATTACGATGACTGGCTCAAGCGAATGCAGTCATTCTCTGAGTATATGGACCAGACAATTCACCTGATGCGAATGGGTGCCAAACTTGGTGTGATCCATCCACGCGTCATCCTGGAACGCATCCCTGCCCAGATCAGCAAACAGATTGTCAGCAACCCCAAACGGCACCCCTTTTACAAGCCGTTTTTCAATATGCCGGACTCTGTCAGCCAGCTGCAACAAAAAAGATTGAAAACGGAAGCCTTACGCGCAGTCGAACAGAACATCATTCCGAGCTATATCAAATTGAAACAATTCTTTGAGGAGGAGTATCTTCCTGCGGCACCTGAACAGGTCGGGGTCTGGCAAATTCCGCAAGGTGACTCGTTGTACGCTCTACGTTGTCGCGAGTTTACAACGACAGAACTGACGCCAACGCAGATCCATACGATTGGATTGGCAGAGGTCCGTCGCATTCGCCAGGAAATGCAGAAGATCATTGATGAACTGGAGTTCGAAGGGAGCTTCGCTCAGTTCCTGGAGTTTCTCAGGTCAGATCGACGTTTCTATTTCAACAACGAGAATGACTTGCTACGTGGATACCTGGCGATCTGCAAACGGGTCGATCCACAACTGGTCAAACTCTTTGAGAAACTCCCACGCATTCCCTATGGCGTAGAACCGATCCCTCCGCAACTCGCACCCGACACGACAACGGCCTACTACCGGCCTCCTGCGCGTGATAGTTCCCGCGCAGGGACCTATTTCGTCAATCTCTATCGTCCTGAAGTTCGCCCGAAGTATGAGATGGAAGCACTCTCGCTGCACGAGGCGGTTCCGGGGCACCATTTGCAAATCGCGCTCGCGCAGGAACTCGACAACCTACCTGAGTTTCGACGATATGGAGGCTACACTGCTTATATCGAAGGCTGGGCACTTTATGCAGAGAGCCTGGGCGATGAACTCGGACTCTATCAGGACCCTTATTCCAGATTTGGTCAGCTCACGTATGAGATGTGGAGAGCTGTCAGACTCGTCGTCGATACCGGAATTCACCATCAACGCTGGTCACGTCAACAAGCGATCGACTTCTTCGCAGCCAATACAGCCAAGACCATCTATGATATTGAGAATGAAGTAGACCGCTACATCTCCTGGCCGGGTCAGGCCCTCGCGTACAAGATCGGAGAACTTAAAATCCAAGAACTCCGACGACGATGTGAGCAACAACTGGGAGACGATTTTGACATCCGTGAATTCCACGATGTCATTTTACGCAATGGGGCTGTCACTTTGGATATTCTGGATGATCAAGTCAACGAGTGGCTGCGATCTGTCAAGAAATGATCTAGCAAGTTCCCAAGGTCCCCTAGGGAATGCCTTCTTGAAGCTCTGCTTCCATTGACCAATACTACAATGCAGGCGAAGCGTAGCTTCTGGATGTTGCGTTTCCAAACAGAGTTTGGGAACGAGTTAAGTTTATTGTTGAACTTTTATTAGCCGCTGGGCGTTAGCCCACGGTTCAAATTAACCGGACGCTAACGCGTGCCGGCTGATATAGCAAATTCACTCCTTGCTACTAACCTGTTAGTATCGTTGTTGTGCAAATTATGAAGTGCGTTGGCCTTGGTCACGGCAGTTGGTTCAAACCAGCTATGCTGGACAGGTGCTTAATTCGCTACCGATAGATCTCGGCAGGCAATGGTTCAAAGCCTGTAGTCTGAACTGGCTGCGTTGCTTGTTGCTGCTGAATCGCATTCACGGGAACAATCTGCTGTGGCTGTGCTCCTTTGGGAAGGAGGTGACCGGCAGCGATCATTTGGCGGATGTTCTTCATAAAGACAAACTGCTGCGTCGGTGACGTTTCGTTGATGAGAGAGACATCGTGAACCACATAGTGATCTCCTTCACGCGTCAGCTTGATTTCAGAAGAGACCATGCCGTCGCTGGTGTGGACGACCATCCAGGATTCACCAGGAGCGATGCGGATCACTTCGCTCATGAGTGGCCTAACCATCTGACGAGAGATTTCAGGGATGTAGTTGAGCTGTTTCCAGACGATTTGATCGAGGGCACTACTGGAGTGACGAATCACCCCGTCTACGTCATTCCTGTGCACCGCTGAGGCAAAGGCGTGAATCGGTAACAGCATCTCCAGATTGGATTTCAAGGAAACAGGACGATCATGAGCCGGCATTTGCACGTCATCAACAACCATCCAACCTTCGCCTAAACGAAGTATGAATGTCATCGGTGTATTGCCCTGGGCGACTGTGATCTCAGTGATATCTCCTCGAAAGACCGTTGAGAGGACTTCCGTTTTCCCTTCCTCGATTTCCGGGTAAGGCATGATTGCAAAGTGCTTGGCCGCTTCTGTTTTCCAGACCCGTTCATTGAAATCGTTACTCGACATGCTGCGAATTTGTGGCAAGTTGCGAGTTCTCAACGCATCGACATACAAGTCAACGACTGAACTCGACAATAACATGGCAGAGACTTTTTTGACCTCAGAACCGGCGGCATCAAAGATGGTGACTTCATCAACCCTTGGTTCAATGGCACCGGGATTTCCATCTTCATTAACCAGATCAACCATGCGAACTGTCAGCATATAAGTGGTCCCATTTGCTTCCAGGAGAAGTTCAGTCCGGTCGGCGAACTGCTTTGCTTCGTAGTCATCGCCAATCATCAATGCAACAGGTAACTCAACTGAACTGATGTCGCCATTCTGTAAAGATTGCGAGTAGAAATCGGGTGAAGCATATGGTTCCAGCTCTGCCACATTCTGGTCAGCGAACGTTGTGAGGAATTTCGCAGCATTGTTCAATGTTTTTGCTAGCACAAGCAGCGAACGAACCTGTGTCTCTTCTCCCGACTTTGATTCAATCGCCAGGTTCTGCGCTTTCCAGCGATTCAACTCTTTACGGAACTCGATGAACAGGCTGCCATCTTCGTGTGGAACTACAACAACGGCATGGTCACCATTCAGACGAGCCTCAGGCCGGAAAGTAACGCTGCGTCCTTTGCCCACACTCTCGACTGTTGCTTTGTTAAACCAGTTGGGGGGGATCGTTGAAAGTGCCGCATGCAATTCTTCAGTACAATGCTGCAATTTGACCGTGCGAGGAGCTGAACTCCAGTCTTTGAGTAATTCGCGAGAAGTCAGCAGCAGATCCATCTGATCGGTCACCGAGCGCTGAATCTCCCGGCCGGTTGTGTCATCCTGACTCAAAATCACATCATCAACGACCCAACGCCCTGATTCGTGGTCGAGTGTCAATTGGTACTCCAGAACTTTCGCGTTCTCTTCCTCGCCAATTTCGACAGTCGCGAGTTTCGTTGTGTCATCGACTGGTTCGATTTCAACAACACGCACATCCCCTTTTGGGAAGCGGAGAAGTTTGAGATCCGTCAACGCTTCCGGTTGCCGCAGAGCCTTCGCCTCAAAATTGGATGAGGTTGCCACCTTGAGTTGTTCAAGGTCTTGAGATTCGAGGCTCTCGGCAAAATTCACAATCGCACGCCGGGCCATCAGGCTTGTGCAGCTACTGAAACAGAGCGTACTGAGCAAAATTGCGTAAACTGGAAGGCTTGGGTGGAACATCTCGTTCGATCCCGATCAGTTGAAAATGCTGTTCTCTGTTCCTTCAGAATGGAAGAATCAGACGAACGTCATGGGGAATTCTGGATGGGATCGACGTTTTCTCAGAATGATTGAGATTCGGTCAACGCCGAGATCGCTGTGCTTTCGGCAGGATGTCAGCGATTCAGTAGGTTTTCTTCTGGAAAAAGTGACAATTGCTCTATTTTGGGTCAAAAACGCTATAGACACATTCTTGCCGGTCGGGTTACAACCCTCCTGCAGTAGATCGGCAAGATTGGCCGGATTGACATTTGCTACGTCGTATGGAGGCGGCTCAGGCAAATGCGCATTCGGCGATGCCATTTACGGTCCCCTCGTTTTCCCTTCACGTTTCCTCAG